AATGCCTAAGAAAGATTATTAGGGCCCCATGGTTGGTCAGGAATAAACAAATACACGAAGATCTTCATATAGATATGGTCGAAGATACAATACCAACATTTAGTAGTAGATACCAAGATAGACTGGAGTTACATACTAATGTTCTGGCTATTGGCCTACTCTACAACAGTGAAACCACAAATAGGCTGAAGCATTGCAAACCACTAGATTTAGTATATAGGGAAAGATTATTAAACGATGTATAATTTAATACTAACTTGTTAAAAAAATAATACAAATAATTAATATAATGAAACTAAAAAATAATTAAAAATGTAATGAGTAAATTAACAAATTGTAGATTACTCTATATATTGTTTTCAAATGAAAACATTATATCTAGTTATGTAAAAAACAACCAGACTTACTATATGACTCGTTTTTATGAAAGTAATATAAGTCCACTATTGAAAAAAAATGAGTTAATAGTAATTTTAGTAAGATATACATATATATAATCATACTTTCAATACAGCACGATATTTTGATAAAGTAATCAAAATCATTTTAAATATAAAATGTTATCGCAAAAATGTTAACCCTTAATTATCGCGTTGTATGTAAAATTCACTTACACCACTTTCGTCAATTTATGGTCTTTTTGTCAGACAGATGGCCAGAAAAAAAGAGAACTTTCTTAAAATACCGACTCATATTTTATTATTTGTTTGTTCAGGAGATGGACTTATCGACCAAAAAGTGATCTAATGAAATCGAGCTACTATAGAAAGTTTTTTAACTGTTTACAAAACACATGCTCATCATAATATCACGAAATTAAGGTCAGAAATATTACAAATTAATCAAACAAATTACAGATGTAGTTTTAGTACATGGTGTACAGTTTGTTACGACTATCATGAGATCAATATAAATCATCTTATTTGTTTAGGAAATATCAAATATTCATGATTAGCTATAATATATTTCTTGTTGTATATTGATTACATATTTTTTTTTTAAATATAACAATAATTTCCATTACATAATATTCCTTTAGTAATTAATAATACTCCATTAGAAGGAAGATCAAAATATGTGGGTGTTATGAACGTTTACGGTATAAATGCTTAAAAATCAAAGTACACCAGGAAGCGTTGAAGAAGGTTTTAGCCGTTTCCTGCTTTTTCCATACATTCTCTATAATATCTTCTCGTTGCTAATTACTAATTATCAATGATGTAATAAAATGAAAGAAAAAATAATCATTACGTATAAAGCACAAATAGTCCCTCTTTACTTATTCGAAACAGTTGTATCAAATTGTTCGGATATTTGTTCAAAAATCAAATATTTATCACAGACATTATTTTATTTTAAAATTATACATTCGTTCGATTCAGTGTTTATCCGTATTTCAGATCTAATAAAATGGTGGTCGAATGGTTAAGTCATCTTTCTTACATAGTTGTGAGCGCTGGTCCTTTTCGAGCCTTACGAGGCCCTTTGTGAGCACTCTCGGTGCTTGTAGCTATTAATGAATGATGTTCATCATATATATACCCTCCAGCCAAATTAATGGATAATAACAGTGTTAAGGATAGCGGCAGAAGCGCAATAGTGGAATCGCACAACAAATTTGTAAAAAGAAGAAAATAAAGGTAAAACTTCCATTGGGAATTTACTCAATGTTCACAGGAATAAATATATATTATTTAATTCCAAATTAAATAAATATTATAATATTTTCAATTATATAAATGTTTAACAATAATATTACCATTTTATAAACCATATTGTAATAAAAAATAATGACAAAAACTAAAAAAAACACTTGAAATAAATAAATTTTCAGTTAATTATTATTAAAATTTAAGAAAAAAATGCTGACAATCAACTTAAGACTTATGTAACTATATCATGTGACGTATTGATAAAGTAATGAATATTTTTTAAATTTCTTATACTTATTTATTATTTATAAAAAACATAAATATGGGGGAAGAAATCTACTACATTTTTGTATCTACTGTATATACTATATTTTTTTTGTAATATTCAAGACAATATTCTATCATCCTTTCTGTGTTTATTGCTGCTAATCTTGAGAAGTTTTTTTTTAATAAAGAATAATTATCAGGGGCGACTAAGCAGAATGGTTAAGTCGCTCTTCCCACGATCGAACCGGCAACGATTTGGTCAAGCCATGCACATTGATGAATAAAACAGATTATGAATAAAATTATACGACATAAAAAAAAATCAATTATTATTGATATAAATCCCTTTGGCTCTATTTCTACCCCTTTTCGGGTTAAAAGGCCACCACAATTTTTTGTTGGTTTTGAGGATCGAACCAACTTTGTTGTATCAGATTATCGTGAGGAGTTTTGTTGGATAATAAAAATATAGATTTCTTAAGTAGCTTTCTTAGGCACAACAATATACAATAATGTGAAGAAAATTGCCTACATAGATTTTAAATTTAAAAGTGGTGATGACTTTCTATTTCATTTTTATTTTCATTTCAGAATTATAAAACATTGATTATTAATCACCTCTACATTCTTGATTTCTCTATCAATTATACTATAATTGATATAAATGTATGTACAATAATGAAAATTATACTATGACTTACAAAAAAACTCATGTGATATTTATTATGGTATATTTATATCAATGTAAATATTTATAATAAATATTGTACCTTGATAATTTGTCCTTACCTTCATAGCCATTTCTGTATGCAATATTTGTAGATACAAATATATATATACATATTTTCTAAAAAAAAAGTTCATTTGAAATATGCGTTTATTTCATTCAAATTGTTAAAGATCGCAGAAATGGCTTTGTGGTTGTTTGTGTTTCAAGTAAATATTTTACTGAATCAACAAATTTGGACACAATAGTGTGAAGGGGGCGCGACAGCCCCAGGCGCATCAAGTGTATGGGCGCCCACGGCGCAAGTAATAGTAATATTTTTGGTGGGAAGCGGGTGCAAATGAATTATTTTACTTCTTTGATGATATTGTATTCCTTAGTCATATTTAAACATGATTTATACTTAATGTATATTTTTATAATAAAAACATAATTACCCCACTTGCAAGTTGCATTTTTATGGATTTGACATTCATACAGATAAGTAGCAACGATAACAATTTTGCAAGTAAGTCATTCTTCTTATAATGCAATCGTAGTTCTCAGAATAGTGATAGAGAATGACGTAAACCTAAAGAGATATTAACAGGAATGAAATCATCATGTAATTCTATTTCTAAATTCAAAGTAATTGATATAAACTCATTAAATATATTTATTTATCAACACCAAAGACGTCACGTTCTTAATTAACTATTTTTTACAATATTCTATTAAAATGATCTGTTGATCTTATTTTCTTATCAGTTTTATTTACTTTTAAAATTGATAAAGATAACTTGTTTATATATGAGTAGCTCAAATATGACCATGAAATTTATTGCAATCGGAAATAATTGAATTTGTATTTGACCAATAAAGCAAAGTAAATAATTTTGTCAAATAAAAAATATACAACATGAATAATACGTTTGATTCTCACCTACATTTCTAACCTTAGTATCTTCAAAAATATTTGTTTTCATTCTCATTTCTTTACTTAAAAAAATGCATTTATCTAAGATTTTAAAGTTCTAAACTTTATTATTATATATATGAAAACTTTATGTTTGCTTTGAAGGACTTTTGACAATGTTATGATTTATTCTTTATACGATGCCACTCCATAGGGCACTGAAAGTATGATATTATTTCAAAAAAAAAGAGTAAGCTGATGACATCCAAAATAAGTTGTCACTTCAAATCTTTATAGAATAAAAAAAATAAAGATAATGAGCATAGTGAATTCTGGCTTCAAACATTCGCCCAATTGACCGGACATAACATATTTTACTATTGTATTTCCATCAAGGAAATTTGAATTTCATAGTGTTAATTGCTTAACAAAAAGCAAGTGTCAGAATTGGTTTAAAAATCAGTTCTGCAGATATTTCACTTAAACACAACCAACGTTCAGGTCGACCTACTGAAGATTATGATGACTAAATCAAAGTCATGATTAAATCGGAAAGTCATATGCAAAAGATTGCAAGAATCTCGACATTCGCATGAACGAAAAATATTCACTTAACACAAAAAATATTTGCAAAATCCATCTCAAACGCAATGAAAGTTTCACTGGTGATGGAAATTGTAACTTCTACAATAATATCAATTGAAAACGATCATGATCCAAGTTTGATGAACCAGTACAAACCACATGCAGGAAGATTAATTACATCAAAAAAGATCATGCTATCAATTTGGTTACAAATGTTTTGTGTAAACATTCAAATGATATCAACTAATGAAACTTGATGATTACAGAAAAATTGCCAGATTCGCTAATTCTGTGCGAAAATGACCAATAATTACAAAAACTATTTCGATTAGAAACTTTAAACTAGGAAAGGAAGAATATGAATACAGCCAAACAACAAATCTTAAATTTACAAACTTTATGTGCCTTAGACAATTTATGAATGTGAATAATAAATAATGGGTTGAAAAATTCAATTTGTATTATGTAAGAATGAGAATACGTTTGGGTAGAGAATTAGAATTATATTTTTACAGAATAATTTTGAGCATTGCTTTTTTAGAAATATTTAAATAATTTTGGAAATTTTAAGAATAATTTTTGATTTGATGAATACTCTAGTGAAGATGATACGATAATATAGAGAGAATATTGATGAATATAGTAAATTATAATACTTTCCGCTCTTTACTAAATCCCAATCATTTTGATCAATGAAGTCATTGATCCTTGTAATCGATGGTTGTTGGAAACCAGTGAGAAAATATAAAAAGAATAATAAACAAATCTTTCAAATAATAAAAATATCTTTAATGATTAAACACATACAAAAATAAAGAACTAAATATAATAATAATTACAACAATAATACAAATGAATATAAAACTATATGTATGTAATATATATGATGTGAATATGTGTAAACCCAATGGTATGTCATGTAAATACAGTATGTATTATTTACAGCGCATTCCAATAGATTGTTTCAATGTGGATGAATACTACTTTATATGACAAGAGGAAGTGAGTAGCACGCGAATAGACGTGAAGAAAATTTTTAAAAACTGCACATGATAAAAAAATAACAACAAAAGAATACGAAGATTTGCGAAAATAGTTTTTCAAGAGATCTTTACAAGAGAAGTAATGCGAAGTGTTGGTGAAACAATATTAAAGTATCATCGATAAGATCACGTTATCAGATAATTGATAATGAGTTATGGTATGAGTTGTGAATAAATAAATAGCTTTTTCCATTCAAAGCCTGTGGTATGATGATAGAAGCGATGTTAGACATTTTCAGTAGTGGTGACCTCCTCCTCCGTAATGAGCTGCTGCTACGGGAATTGCGACCTTCTGAACCTGGGGATGAACTGCGTGGCCGGATTTGGTCACGACCGCATTGAATCCATTATGGTGATCGGCTGTGTATTTGACATTGCGAACGGTACCATCAGGTTCCACCAAGGAGTATTCTCCCTTAACAACATCTCCGTCGCGTTCCTCTACCTGCGACTTCTGATCTCCGGTGTGATGATCTTCCACTCCGTACTTGAACGCGTATTTCGGATAAGCCTAGAAATAAAAATGCAAAGAGCAGCAATTACTTCGCTTGCAATTACTTCCTCATTTATTTAATAATCCTTTCGAAATCGCCTTAAATGCAGCTTCGTGTCTCGTTCGATTTCTTGCTGCTGCCACCGTGCATAGAAAGTTCACACGCACTGATTATTCAATGAATCCCAGCTTACATCACCAAAGAACCTTTTTTCTGCAAACCTACCGAGCCTCAGCCCTCAGCGGAGGAGAAAGGCGAAGCCGAATCGTTTGCAGTTGGCATTCGAGCATTTTTCATGCACTGTTTTGATTTATGTCGGTCCGGAATTTAATAGCAAACGCAGCTCATTACGGTACTCCCTAATGGCCGTACTTTATAGCTCTAATTTTTTTCAATTTTTCCTCAAGCAAATACCCGTTTATTTTGCATTCGCTTCTTGATTGCTGCAATGTCCAGATTGGGATTATGGAAGCATAAATGTGAATTGGAATTTGCACGGCGCGGAATGCCGTTAAGCTACGTTTCTGGTAAACGCTCCAAATTTGGAGAGTTAGCTTTTATTGGAGGATTATCAACTATTACGCGACCCATTACCGCTTCCTCAATTTTTACGCAAATTATACATTGCCATTGTAATCGTTGCGCAATCGCGGCGAATCTCCACGAAATTTATGTAACCGCAAAGTGCATAAGTTCACGCTTCCTCTGCTACCGCTACTTTCCTCGCTTCCAGACGGAAAATTGTTTCTCATTTTTCATACGGCGGTAATAGCTGTATTACGTATACTACTTTATTAAGTTAATGCGACATGCTTGGAGATGAAAAGCGCTAGAGTGAAAATGAGAAAAGTATAATGCGTCTAATAAAGTCGAACAACTGGGCGAAGCCAGATGATATTATAATATGCAGACTCCACAAATTTCACGTAACTGCATTTATTTATATATACAGCACCAAACAAGATACCGATTATATAACACTGAAGCCTCGACAGTTCAAAATTTAATAAAACGAAAACTCTACTTTCCTTCTTCTAAATTTCAAATTTACTTTTGCCATAATATTAATATATTATTAATACTATTTTGACATTAGTATGAATCAATATAAAATTAATGTTTTCTTTTATTCTATACTTATTTATCTCTAATTATTTGAGTCATTAAATATAAAATAATTTACAGTGTATATAAAATCAAATAGTATATATAAATACTTAACCTATAATATTTAATAATCAATTTCAATCATTTTCTTTTACAAAAATAAACTACATCGGCAATAATTCGCTCTCTATTATTGATAGCTATAGAGAAACACTATTAGAAAGTGAAACAAAACATTATTTGTCTTCTAATTGATTCAATTATAGAAACAAAAATCACATAAAACAAATTTACCAACTCAATTCAAGTCGTTTTAAATTAATATAATGGAAACAATTACACATAATTAGAACTTACGCTTTAATTCTATCAATTGGAAATTGCACATATATTTTATATTTAATATACAATAAATATTGTTTTTATATATTAAATATGTGGATAACGATAAAGTAAGTAAAATATGTAATATGTCTGGAAAAGATAATTATGTTTTGTAAAAAAAATATTTAGATTTTGATAACGATAACGATAATATCCAAAACTTAAATGATGTATGCGTTGTAGCAATTGAACAACTGTTTTATTGATATTCAATTAATTCAAAACCGCAATTGTCTTTGCATGCTTATTTATGCATAATGAGCATCTGAACAAATCAGAAAGCTATTAACTAAATTGCCTCCCAATATTGAGCATACGCGGAAGCAGAAAATTATGAAATTTCCCACAAGATTAATTGTTGAGACAACCGATCGCATCGGAATTTCAGCTCCTTTAAGTGCACGTTGCGTAACAGTAAGAGTAATGTGGATGGTATACTTTAAGAACTTTTCTGGGTAGCAGCTGAGGAATTTCTATCAAATATTTATTGTCATAGTTTATAAATGTTATTGCTCAATGCTTTAATTACCAATCAACATTTTAACGATCATTGGAATATTACTTCATTCCATTTTTATTCCACGTATTGAAACTGTATAATTTTGCAATCATTATACAATTTGCTTACGAATATTTAGTTTTTATCTATTTTATGTATATCAACTTATATTATTTTAGGTTTACCGGAAATAAAACATTACTAAACCATAAAAAATATATTACAATTATTATAAAATTCGTAATAACTAAAATTATCAATTTTCAAAGTTTCAAATATATAACATATTTATTTTAATGACTTTACTATATATTTTTAGTAACATCAAAGTAGATTATAGCAATAGTCTATAATATTAATAGGTTGGTTATGACAATTAATTCTCTTCTGTACGGATCTTATCGACCTATTATTTAGCAAGTACACCAGAATATTTGGTTGAGTTATTATTCTAGTTTGATTTATGTATTGGCTCCAGTCGGGTTTGAATATGTAATGTATTTTATGATATAAACAAACAAAAATATTTATCAATCAATACTTTTCAAATACAAATAAACATTAGTAATTAATTTACTTTTAAATAATATAAAGTGATATAAATTAAGTCATGGTTTATTAAATTTTGCAAAATGTATATATATATATATATATATCATTTTGTTTTAGTTATTATTTAGAAAATGTATTTGAACGTGTATTTGTACTAATGATTTGAGTTAATATTATTTCATTCTAATGATCAAATTAAAACTATTTGAGTACTTAAAAAAATGTTTCACTTAATAAATTAATCTTATAATTGGATAAATATTTTCCATCGTTAGATTAATTAATTTAGTTGGTATTCAATGTAATTCCATTGAGCGACGACATGTTTTTGTATTAATATTGAACTATCCGAGATGAAATTAATATTTGGTTTGGGTAATTGCGTTTTGCGGTTATTAAGGGTGTTCAGTGGAACGTCCCGCGAGGACTAAACCCGATGATCTGTATGTTCATCGGATACCGAAATCCCACCCCTCAAAATTTCAGCTGATATTAGCATTCGATATATCATATTTAATCAGCGACAAATCAAATCGTCCGTCCAACCCCCCCTATCATTATTTAACACCCCCGGCCGTTTGCAAATAAAAAATCCATCGAATTAAAACGCTTTGCGTGTTCCCCAGTTCCAATTCCGAGTGAAATATTAATGTAGTCTATTGATTTTATTAAATATTTGCCCCGACTCTACTCGACTCAACTCGTGCACGATGAGGTAATATGGTTTTCGAGTAAATACAATTACTTACAACGGGTTCGGCTTCAATTTTATGGATCGGCGCAGCAATGACCGCATGTCCTCCACCATACAAACCATGACCATGCTGGGGCATGCAGCTGGCCAAGCTAACGATCAAACAAACCACTAATGTCACCTGCAACAAATTATTAATTATCAATCTACCTGACTATACCGATTGAGAAGAGAAAAGAAAGTTGAAACACTGCACTCGACTCATTGTTTATTTACCTTCATTTTACTGAATGTGTATTTTTTTACTAAGTAAATATCAATAGGTATATTATGGCTTTGGGCAAGTCTGGCAAAGCTAGAGCAAAGCTGTACTAGTTCGTCTGTTTAAAGTGAAACTCTGTATTACTACTGCTCTTCCAAAGTTTCGAATTTATATACTCACAATCCCCTATACGAGTATTCCCTCACCCGAGTCAGAAATCCTCTCCTCGCATGTATGTGTTTACAATCTAAAAAAGCAACAAAAGGGAAAATGCATGCATTTGCGAGCAAGAAAGAGGGATAAAAAGTAAAACGCGACGTTAGAGAGAAGCGATACATGGAATATATATATGTACGCGTTTGCGAGTGCTCCAATTTTTCACTTGCCAATTTCTGTTTCGAAATCTCGGAAATGCAAATTTTATTGACATTGGCTCATTCACGACTTGCAATTTGCGACTGCGCCCGTAATCTGGCTTCTCTTTACGCCCTTTAATCTTTTCCTTTAATTAGCATGCCGCACATGGCGAACTCGAGGAAAGGGATTTGCGCAACGGACGTGCAAATAATTAATTGCCTTCCGGAGAAAACCCAAAGAAATTGATGTTTTTGTAAAGGATTCAATCACAATCTATTGCAGCAGCATCTGAATGGAGCACACGATCTGCATAATCGAAACTATTATATAACTATGCTCTCGTGTAATATCTAATACAATTTGATTTATTAAAATAGCGTAGTTTTCTAAATATATCTACTTCTTTAAAATTAAGGTTTTCACAAAATAAATAAACCGTTTATAAATAAATATACATTGGAATCTCGTATAACGAGAATAATTCATTCCAGAATCTTACTCGTAACGCAAAAAACTCATTAAGCAAAACAATAATGCGTTCTATGTCAAAAAAATACTCTTCTTCTCTTTAATTTATTTTTTTATACTGTTTACTTGCGTCTTTTTCATCGCAGAAATTGCATAAAGTAGTTAAATTGTGCACAAAACAATCACACAATATATGTTTGAACACAAATCCAAGAGTCTCCTCATCACTTGTTATGCGCTCATTAATCGAATCAATTATATTACAATTTATTTTGCTTGTGGAACGAATTACTCGTTATACGAAATACTGGTTAAGCAAGGTTCTACTGTATATAGCTTGGTCTGTAGCACTTTACATTTTTTATAAATATGTTGGAAAAACTGCGGTCATTTGTTTATTATTAATATATATTTATAATATTAGTAAATACATTTACGTAATATTTTACCAAGGTAATCCGCACTTTACGACCTATCTTCTTAACGATCACTCGTACCTACGACCAATCCAGTTTCAACCTGTAATATGAATAAATTTAAAGTTTGTGGCATAATTTGTCGCAATATATTAATTTTAAATTAAAAAAAAAAGAAACATTAAAATTATTTATATTACTAGGATACCTGTTTTGTAATAATAAAATGGTCCAACTTTGTATGTAAATATTTAACTAGAAATCTTTTAAAACTTAAAAAATTAGTATATAAATAAAGTGTCGTAAATGTATACAATTGCCAAAACTATGTTCCTCGAAACACTTACGCAGAAAGTTATTAGGTGTTCCGTGAAAACGTTGAAAGAAATAATTACTAAATAAATAATTAATGTTTTTCTCTTTTTTTAATGTTATTGATAATGGTGCTCCCTAAAAATTTCTGGATTTAAGAAGTGTTCAGTTGCAGGAAAATTTTGGGAAACCCTGGCCTAAAATATCAATACAGCCAAGAAGCCTGAAGTGTAAAATGCATTTTATACAGCTTGTTGGGAATTATATATGTTTCCTTGTAAGAAGTGACCCAATGCTTGAAAATTATGAGAGTCAGTTGGTGCAAAGTCTGATGAATAAGGTGAGTGACAGTGTTTACAAGTCCTGCTCCTGCAGTTTGACTAACATGTGGTTAAGCATAGTTCTGCAAGAGGTATGGCCTGTCTTTATTCACCAATATTGACAACTTAATCCAAGATCCCTAAATGAATATTAGCAAAATCGCTTTTCAGATTATAATCAAGTAATATTTGTCTTTCTTTTATCGTTACCACAATAATTTTGTTTTAACCAATATCCTAAATTTTGCAAGTTTGATATAATAACAGTAATAATTTATGGAAAAAATAACTGTAGGTAATTTTTTGTGTCCGCTCAGTTGATTTTATTTCATGTTTCACTCTACTCTGTTTCCATTCTTCCATTTGTCAGTTTTCTTTGTCACATCAAGTTATTTTCATTTCTTCTGCACCATATTCATAGTATCATATGTTTCACTGTGTGTCTGTTCATTATCAGCTCAATTCATTTTCATTTATTTTGTTACATTCATTGTATCACATGTTTTTATGTTTGTTTTAGTAAAAAAATAATATCTGAAGGCTGAAAGAGGGGAAAGTCCATACTGGTCTCACTAATTTGTAATAACCTTTATATACTTTTTTTAAATAATAAAATTTATTAAAATGGAGTCTTTCTGACCTAAATAATGTATTATAATTATATTTCTCTAATAATAAGTATGCGTACCAAATTATTATTTGAGAATGTTTTGATAATAGAACATTACAACAGTATTATATCAATAACTAAATAACTAATTTTATTATTTTTAATAGAATTTGAGAAGTTGTGCAATAAATGCAATTTCAATTATTTTAATTAATAAACAAGATATTTTTGGATTATTAGTTATATCGACAATTTCTTGTTTTATTTATATCGCATACTTAACCTCAATATGATAGATTGGTAAGGCTATTTAGATTAGCAGGAAATTGTAGAATTGAAGGACTGGAATCTGTTTTCTAACCATGTCAGTTTATGTTAGTTTATTTATAATTCATTTATTTACATTGGTTCGAAGAAAAAACACGTTTTTGAAGATTATCAATATGTACGCTGCGACATAAATATTATACAAAATTAATTATAGCAGGCTGTGCAACCATAAAATGCAAGAAAATTTCTAATTTTAACATAAAACGACTATAAATTTGTTCTGGCACTTGCAGTTAGCGTAACAAATGCATTCAATTTTTTTTCATGTCCTCACGTAACTAACGTGGAAAATGCAAGTGCCGCAATATTACCGAGATCTTAACACTGTTTACATATATAGAAAATGGTATTAAAAGTTGTATATTTTTTTGCTTGTGATTTTTCTTCGTAAATAAATAGATCCCCGTCGTGCTGTATTTCATAAGTCACTTTTACCGTTAGGTAACAGATGTTTATTAATTTGAAATCTCGATTAGCAATTAATATTTAATAAAATATTTTGTAATACTTCACATCCGTAGCGATTCAATATTGGTAACGAGTTCACGTGCAGCACATTTGAAAGGAAAAGGCAATATTTTAGAAAAATGTATACATTATTTATGGACTAATTCTGAAAATTTTTATTGCATTATTCTATCATTTGTAAAATTTTAAAAAATGTTTATAATTATAAAATTACATAAATAATAACAAAGAAAAAATATGACAAAAGACATAGCGTTAAACGAAACAGATTTATAGATCATTTTATCATTAAGCAAATGTTGGTAGCAGGTGATAGCAACCAAAACTCTTGTTCTTGTTTTGTACTCCTGTCAAAATTTGGATCTTTCGCTACAATTTTATCAACGGTTTCTATTATCGTTTCTAAATTTTCTGTAGCAAGTTCTTTTGGTTCATCGTCTTTAGAATCACTATTTCGCGTTCTTCAATTATTCTGCCAGTTCTTGAAGGTCGCTCTTGGCAAGTCCTTCACATCTGCAGTACTCCTTAATATCCTGCTCATCTACATCTCAAAAAAGCATAGATTACGGGGAAGCACAGGGGCTATAATCGTATTATATACGAATCAATGAAATGCTGCGATAATTTGAATTATAGAAAAGCAGCGTTAATCGAGGCAGCGATGTTTTATTGTACATTGAAAAGTTTTAAGAAATGAACAGTTAACTTACACACAAAATGAAAATATCTGTCTAAACTTGATTCCTGTGCTGCTTTAATTGTATTATATTGTAACAATTTCAAATTCCTACTGAAAATCACTCAGTAATTTCTGCTATAAACTATTATTTATCTTAAAATTTCTACTACTCTTTCATTAATAAGTAATATTTTTTTCATAAAACTATATGACAAATTAGTTTTATCTAATCTATTTGCAATGTTAATGATTTAATATATAAATATTTGAGTACATTAAACTGAAAGCAGGTGAAAAATTGAAAAATAATAGTAGCATTATTGTTCAATTTTCGGATGATCAGAATTTTCCTATAAAGAAAGCAGCACAATGTTTCATCTTCATAGATTCATTTTCGTTTTAACTCTCACTTTTCAAGTATGGGAAAGTAGATGTACGCATTATATAAACTTTTTTAATCCATTTTCTTTCTTTAATTTTATTGCAATATCCAAAGTTGAGCCTATTCCGCAGCATGGTAAAAAACATCTTAAATGAAGCAATACCTTGCATAGTACGGATTAACTGTAGTAAAGTTTAAAAATTTCAAATGAAATTTAAGTTGAGCAAAAGAACACATATTCTCTTTTTGTACTTTTTGTACGAGTTTAAAGACCTAATTAGACAGGTTTCAAATAGTGCGGGATATTGGTGGAACCGATCACCTGCTCTATGAGATGTATATTCGATTATAACTTCTTTAATAATAAATAAATAAAATGTAAGTAATAAATACTTGATATTATTCGTATACGAGAGTGCAGATACATTATTCATAAAATAAATTATACAAACCCATCGCTTCTTCGAAGCTCTTAACATTGTAATTGTGGTCACATCACTTCCTACATTTTTTATCGCAGAGCTTTCGACCATCTTTATACCATCGTCTGATTTATGGCAACGTTACATAACAAATTCCTTAATTGAGCCGTTTCGTGGGTGAAAGAAAGAGTCGTATTTATTTTAAGACGCTAAGCTATAATACAAAAAAATAGCAATATACCATTTAAAACAACTATTAAGCCTTAAATGAATTGCCAAGTATCTTCTTCAAGTTACAATTCTTTCGTTTTAGACAGAGCTGTTCTTATTTCAAAATAGTTTCGATCTGCGATAGTCTGTTTCACTGCGTTGCGTAAGTTGTTTTTGTTTCTA